GTTTTCTTCAGCTGCTACTTTCTGCATAGTAAATAACATTGTCTTCAAAGCTTCTACAGGGCCTGGCTGCTCACCACCAGTCAGTCGAGGACTATCATCATCACTCCTACCTCTCATCTATATCAAGAAATCAACATCAGTATAAATGTGGAAACTACGACAAAGAACATAACTATATTGTACTCAGTAATGTTCCCTTCTGGCAAAACAAGTTTTGCATTTGTTATTTCTTCTTTAAAGCAAAAATTTGGAAAATTATATGCATTTTGCAGATTAGTACAGAATTGATATCTACTGTTATGTACTAGTAAGTGAATTCATAGAAGGATATCCAAACCACGTGATTAGTCAATTGTGACATTAATTTATTTTGAATATTCAAAGTTGAGAATGGATTTTAAAGAAATTTGATGTGACATCATGATTGTTGACAGAGATAATCAAAGTGCACATGGTATTTCAATTTATAAAACTGATAAATTAAAACAATTTTGTTTCATAAAATTTGAGATTTCTTTAGAATAGAAATTATCTGCATAAAAAACATGTATTGGGTATACCATTGCAGTGAAAACATATTTCATATTTGAGACTAAACAAAAAGAATATCTGAATATTGGCAATACAGGAGAGGATTGCATCTAGAGTTGAAACAAACAATAGTATCGAATTATTATGTATACCTGAATTAACTGATGATGTCGATGAACTCATGTAATCTTCAATAATGCATTTAACAATCGATAATGTATGAAGAGTATCAGCGAAAAGACCATCATTTGAAGACTCCCCCTCCGAGTTGGTTGAGTCAGCTGAAGACTCAAGACATTCTTGAATAAAACTTTTAATGATATTTTTCTTATTTTTCATGATCTTGTGTGACCACATCCTGCTAATAGCAGCTGCGGATGTCCACTTCTTTTTGGAATTCCTCTGTGTACCACATCGTGCAGACTCTCCAAGTAGGTCATATTGAATCCCTTTTCTAGGTGCATGGCATTCTGACATGTGTAATCCATGTAACACTCTATGTTGTGGTATGGGTGTACTAGCAGCAATAGGTGAGTAAGAATCACAACTCACCTCTTTATTAGACTGCAGACAATCCTCCAAGAATTTATCAATGATGGTGGGGTTCTCTGACGCACGTGATGACCTCTCACCTACATGTCTAGGTGGTTTACTGAAAAAAATACAAAAAAATAATATTTAGACATAAACCACAGCTTGCTAGGCAAGATATTGGAAAGAAATGTTCAGAATGTTTTAGACACTTCTGATTACTAGTATCCACTACAGCTCAGATTGATACTAAATTCAATCAGTAATCACTTGAGTCAGCTGATGTCAAAAAGAGAAAAAAATACCTAATAAACATAAAAAATTACCAGCTTAAGACCACATGGTTATTATTTTTTTTTTAATCAAGGAATGACATAACATATAAGCCGGGTTTATATAATGTGATACATTGACTCAGGGTATGCATATAATGGCATCACCAACGATTGAAGCTATCACCAAAGATTGAAGCTATCACCAAAGATTGAAGCTATCACCATAGAGTGACGCTATCACCAAAGATTGAAGCTATCACCAAAGATTGAAGCTATCACCAAAGATTGAAGCTATCACCAAAGATTGAAGCTATCACCATAGAGTGACGCTATCACCAAAGATTGAAGCTATCACCAAAGATTGAAGCTATGACCAAAGATTGAAGCTATCGCCATAGAGTGACGCTATCACCAAAGATTGAAGCTATCACCAAAGATTGACGCTATCACCAAAGATTGAAGCTATCACCAAAGATTGAAGCTATCACCAAAGATTGAAGCTATCACCAAAAATTGAAGCTATCACCAAAGACTGGAGCTATCTCCAAAGATTGAAGCTACCACCAAAGATTGAAACTCAAAGGCTGAAGCTATCACCAAAGATTGAAGCTACCACCAAAGATTGAAACTATCACCAAAGACTGAAGCCATCTCCTAAGATGGAAGCTATCACCAAAAACTGAAGCTATCACCAAAGATTGAAGCTACCACCAAAGGCTGAAGCTATCACCAAAGATTGAAGCTATCACCAAAGATTGAAGCTATCACCATAGAGTGACGCTATCACCAAAGATTGAAGCTATCACCAAAGATTGACGCTATTACCAAAGATTGAAGCTATCACCAAAGATTGAAGCTATCACCAAAAATTGAAGCTATCACCAAAGACTGAAGCTATCACCAAAGATTGAAGCTACCACCAAAGATTGAAACTCAAAGGCTGAAGCTATCACCAAAGATTGAAGCTACCACCAAAGATTGAAACTATCACCAAAGACTGAAGCCATCTCCTAAGATGGAAGCTATCACCAAAAACTGAAGCTATCACCAAAGATTGAAGCTACCACCAAAGGCTGAAGCTATCAACAAAGATTGAAGCTACCACCAAAGATTGAAACTATCACCAAAGACTGAAGCCATCTCTAAGATGGAAGCTATCACCAAAAACTGAAGCTATCGCCAAAGATTGAAGCTACCACCAAAGATTGAATCTATCACCAAAGATTGAAGCTACCACCAAAGATTGAAGCTACCACCAAAGACTGAAGCCATCTCCTAAAATGGAAGCTATCACCAAAGACTGAAACTCAAAGGCTGAAGCTATCACCAAAGATTGATGCTCAAAGACTGAAGCTATCACCAAAGATTGAAGCTCAAAGGCTGAAGCTATCACCAAAGATTGATGCTCAAAGGCTGAAGCTATCACCAAAGATTGATGCTCAAAGACTGAAGCTATCACCAAAGATTGATGCTCAAAGGCTGAAGCTATCACCAAAGATTGATGCTCAAAAACTGAAGCTATCACCAAAGATTGAAGCTCAAAGATTGAAGCTATCACCAAAGACTGAAGCTATCACCAAAGATTGAAGCTATCACCAAAGATGGAAGCTATCACCAAAGATTGAAGCTCAAAGATTGAAGCTATCACCAAAGACTGAAGCTATCACCAAAGATTGAAGCTATCACCAAAGATGGAAGCTATCACCAAAGATTGAAGCTCAAAGATTGAAGCTATCACCAAAGACTGAAGCTATCACCAAAGATTGAAGCTATCACCAAAGATGGAAGCTATCACCAAAGATTGAAGCTCAAAGACTGAAGCTATCATCAAAGATTGAAGCTCAAAGACCTAAGACTAAGATTGAAGTTATCAAGGATTGAATTAAATAAATATCACAACAAATTAGAGCTACTTACAGACAAGGTAGATTCTTTTCCCATGACCTATCACCATCTAATACATCCTCCGTCAATGGACTTGTTGTCAGATCTTTTGATTTGAACTTCAACTGAGGTACAGGAGTATGCAAGACTTGTTCTGCCTTTGCCAGAATAGCATGCACTACAGGATCTACAAAAAGAAATTTACAAAACATCAAAATATTCTTACGAAATTGACTTTCAGATTATATAGCAATGACATTTACAGGTTTCCTCCACTACTTTTGAAGCTTTTCTCTCTGCCCCAGTGAGAATGATTTCACCTTCTATCAGATGATTCCATATCCACACAACGATGTAGATAAACACTGAAAAGAAAATCATGACCAGGTTTTTTTCTAGAAAAACATTTTAAGAGGGAGAACAATTTTGTTACCATTGTTATAACTGATCATAATCTACTGACTGTTCCAGGTTCGGTAAGAGGGTGCAAGCATGGGTTATGAGGGTGCTGCGACCCTGTCATGAAACACCCCTGATGACTGACATGGAAGAAAGCAGTGGGCTCTGTAACAAGGTCGAACGTTGTAGGGATCTTGAGTCAAATTGGGATTCCATATTTCAAGTTGGCTCTGTTTATTGACTGCTGGGGAGTGAAGTTGATGATTGCATGTGACTCTGAAGTGTTGTGGCCTCTGACTATGATATAGTGTATTTTTCAAGATTACTATATCAATGTATGATCTTCTGTTACATTGACATGCCAGTTGCATCACTAATAATCTCTGTACATTTGTGATGCATCATATCCTCACACAGGGCACACAGGAAGAGATTTACGTAATTACCTTGAAGAGCTACCTGTCTTGCAGGCAAGTCACTGGATACACTTTCAGCACTGACTGCTCTTCTGTTCATATGTATTCCTGCTTTCAATGCTGTACCTCTTGGGGAAGCATTGATTAGGTCATCTGTATTGGTGGAAGTAATTTTAGAAAAAGACTGTGCACGTTTGAGATAATCATGGTTTTCACTGTTACTTCTTCTAAAATAGCTGGTGTTTTCCGTATCATGGACTGGCAAAAGTGGCCTTTTGGGAAGATTTCGTCTGGATGGTGGCAAAAAGAAACTGTCATTTGTTGAAATGTCACTGTCATCTTTGGAGTATTTAAAGTTCAATTTTCTGCCAACAGCAGCTTGAATGTACGAGTCAACTTCTTGGGATGCGTTGCTGTTTTCCTTACTGTGTTTACCCCATCGATGCAGTTCATGCTTTATACCGTTTTTCTCTGGAGTTGTCAGTATCCTTTTCTTTGCTTTCAAATCACCACTGCTATCTGAGGAGAGCGAATATGCATTCTCATTTCTGTGCGAGAGTCTGGCAGCCTTTGGTATGTGTTCAAATTCTTCAACCTGCCAATCACTAGAGTCACTCATGAGAAGATCAGCAGCAGAACCATATCGTTTCAAAAGAACACCTTCCTCGCTGAGTTTTGAATTTTTTCGATTTCTGCATCTTCGTCTTGCAATATCTAATAATTTAACACTGGATTGTGTCAAATTACTAATATCGGAAGAATCTAAATCCTGGATCCAACTAGGAGCCGGATGTCCACTATTTCCAGACAGATCCAAGTCTTGTACCCAGCTTGGAGCATGGCAAGCACTCACAGTGTCCAAATCTTGTACCCAGCTAGGAGCACAGCGTGCACTCATTGTGTCCATGTCTTGAACCCAACTTGGAGCTGGCCTTCCTCCTGAGTTGGGCGACAGGTGGGTATGCTCTAACTGTGCTGGCCTAGCTGGAGTATGGTACAATTGTTGAGCAGCTGAGCTATTTAGTCGGCTTGGTAGATCACCTAAGCTACCAGATTTGTATCTGTTCAAAGCATTCCTTTGATACTGGGTGTATGGCTTTCTAGGGTTGATAGGTGCTGATATCAGTGCTTCGGTATCTAAACTCTCAACATCAGTGATGACAGAATTACTTGTAAGAGGAGATAAATTCTCACTTGTACTGTCGTTCTGACTGTTATGAAGAAGGGTTTCAGCTGAAACATTAAAACAAACATTACTGTTATTACACACTAACATTATTTTGATATTATATAAAAGTTATCTCATGAGTGAACCTACAATATCAGATTCATTAAACAAGTGTAGTAATTGTCATTTGTTCCTCACCAAAGGCATGGATATAGTATTATCAAATTTGAAAAACAAACAAAGCATGTCCAAAATACCCCTTTTAAAAAAAATGGCTGCCAGATGGCCATCTTTGATCTGATTATGAAAAAAAATACATGTTCAAAATATAAATAAAAAATGGTTCACATCGTAAGTCTTGGAGACATAGTATTATGGCCATAAAGCAAGATGGCCACTAGTTGGCCATCTTTGGACCGATTGCAGAACAAATTGTCATGGACATGTATCCTATGTATGTAGCATATTTGAAAAAAAAAAAACTAATGAAGCATGTCCAAATACCACATTTTCAAAAAACCAAAACGGCTTCCAATTGGCCATTTTAGATCGAATTACTAAACCACAGCATGTGCCTGTGTCCCATATAAAGTACTTGAAACATGCAAAGAATGAACAGATTTGGTCCAAAGGATTCTGAAATATGGTTTTAGATGAATGGACGAACAAAGACAGAATTATAAGTCTAATAATGTAAATATTATATTTACTCTATTAGAAAAGTATTTCTAATAGAAGCCCACATACAGTAATGTATTTGCTCACAAGCACACATTAAAACCAAAAATTGCATTTATTGTATGCAGAATAATTAAAATATTCACCTAAGCCTATACGCTACAAATAGAGCAAATATGTTAGTTGTTAGTTGTGTTGAGTTTTATAGGGTGTGACTCTATTTTAAGGTTCTAGCACAGGTTCACTGCTAATGTACATTTTTCATCGGCTTAGAAAATTTGACAAAATAAAACAGGTGTAGACTAATATTAAGTGAAACTATCATTTCAACAATGTGTCCACAGCAACCATGTTTAGATATAGAAAGCAGGCGTAATTATTGACAGATCATTGTCTACTGTAAATGTTTAATTTTTTACTGCTACAGATTTTCATGATGTGTTCAAAGCAACTAAATAACAAACTCCTTGTTTGATGATCTCAAATAATATTTTCATGGCTACACAAAATATCCTTGAAAATTCATGCAAATTTGTTGGCATCTAATCAAAGTATGAAAAGAAAAAACAGAATACAATTGCAACTTACATGGATTTGATAAAAAACCTGAATTCTGATCTAAAATACTAACCCACAAGTTAAGATCCTCAAGTTCTGACCCAAATACCACTTTTGCTGTGATTTTTAGTAATGAACTCGTAAATTTTACACTATAAATTTCGCCACCAATAATAATTTCTATAATTTTAAATACTATTGAACAAAAGGGACATAATTTTACATTGCCTACATGTGTTGATCAAAGTTTTTAAAAAACAGGGTATGTGAAGGTGGCAATAGTTGTCTTTGAATTTCAAAAGGTTAAGAAGCCAGTGTGTATACATGTACATGGTTCAGCATAGAAGTCAAAGCAGCAAAAAATGAAAAAGCGTTTACCTTTATGTCTTTCCACATCTGCTCTGACTATTTCTCGATAAGACTTGTCAATGAGTTTCTTCATTTCATGCCGATGTAGCTCGGTTTTCTTCTCCCTAGCTTCCTGTTTTCGATCAAAGTTGAGCTGCAGCGTCGTTTCCAGAGACATTGAGTCATTCACGGCTCTCTGGTTCCCAAACAAATTGCCATAGCTTGTTTCAAAATTGTTTATATACGCATGCAATTCTGCAGATGCTGAGGACTGGTTATGGCTTTGGTTATTGGATTGTCTGTTGTGATGACTAGAATGCAGTGATTTTGACATATTCCTTGATGAGATTGTATTATTCCATGAAGCGTCATCCATCACTCGACTAGAATTCCAACTATCATACATGTGGGCCATTGTGAACTGTGGTTTAAAATCAAAGTTTCAGTAAGGCAGCTTAAAACTTCATTCTAGAGTATAAAATAAAATCTCAGTTTTCACTTTACTTCTCATGAAGTAGATCTGCAATACAAAAGAGAGAAATGAGGTTACTTAACCTGAAAAAAGTCAAAAATGTTTTCTCACGTGCGACAAATATGATTTGATGGAAGAAGAAACCTTACAAGTGACCAATTTCAGTTAGCGATCTTTAAGGCAGTTGAGTACTCAGCAATAGTCACACATTCTGCAACCTTATTGCTTTATGGCCAAAGTGGTGGTTCTGGACAAAAAAATAAAATATTCACAGCATTCATCCTAACAAGTTGTTTGCTTGCATAGTTAATCCAGTGACAAACACCACCATTCACAAACAGGCTTCTGTGTATATTCAATTGATCCATATGCAAACAGAAAGGGTGTCAAGTATGTTTTCACTCAGTACCAAACTGAATGTGTAACTGACAACCAGCGAATAGTAATTGCAAAAGAAATGACTGTACATGAATATTTTAAATCCCTGCAGTTTACGCACTTAATTAACTGAAATACAGATAATAATGGATAATAAATTAAATCATATCTTGATAATCAATAATTAGAACAGCTTTGGCACAGGCAAAAACTATTATGTATTTGATGTGTGAACAACAAACGTTATTAGCAACCAATTGGGACGCTTGAATTATATGAATTCGACTGTGACTGTTTAAATGTTCCAATCAAAGACAAATTCCTTTTCAGTTTGTAATGCCATTTTTGTTAGAAACCTGCATTGATAGTGTGAATTTATATATAAATTTTAAGCTAATATGATATTGACAAATGACACAATGTTTTTAAATATATCTATAGAGTGTACTGATTATATCGTTATTCATGCCAAGATGACCTGAGTGGCTTAGAGTAGTGGTCACTCCACTAAAATAATACCTGTTAATACTCAAATCCAATCAACTGCTGTTCATTCCAATATCACAGAACCATAAAAGTGTGAATTTTGAAAGAGGTTGGTTTTGTTGGGTTGATCCACAATCAAACAGACCTGGAGGGTAAATTAATCCAACAGTAAACAGACCACTTGTAAAACCTAGCTAGAAGTTTGTCTAGCACACACTGTGTAAACACAACTAAACGAACTTTGCGTCTTGCATTTTAGTGCTGACAAAAATCAAACCTGGGACAACAAGCGGCCAACAAACAAGCAACAACAAAGACTATGCACACTATACTGGGCCAGCTATTTTCAGATCATATTTAATCATCAGATTTCTTGTTATCGCACATTGAAATGCTGTGTTTTTATATACAGCGACAGCAACAAATGTTTTACGTCGATGATGTAAACAAAAAGAATTTGTACATTAAATAATACGAGTTGAATTTTTAGCTCCAGAAAATATTCAATTTATATACAAATATATCGGTACCAGTAAAGTCTGAAATCCAAGTTAATAGTGGGTTTGTTTATACAAGGTGTGATTTGACTGACAGTAAACTACCTGATAAGAGGTGTATTAAGCAGAAATCAATAGCAATATCCCAATACAAAATTCCAAATTAACTAATATAAGTATAAAGGTAGTGTCAGTGGTGCCTAGTGCTGATACAAGTTTGCTGGTATGCTAGATTTAGGACTCGTAATAGGCACTCAGCTAAACTACAGTTATAGCCTACAGGTATGTATCATGTATCCTTCATTACAAGTATTGACGGATCACCAGTGCTGAACCCATACCAAGGGGGCAATGTATGAGCCATTAATCAGAAACAATGAGCTGAGACCTACATCAGCTCTCGAAATATAGTTATTCTCTGCAAGTTATAGTATTTTTCCTAGTGTAGACTCAATCAGGGGAGCAGGCCTAACGTTACATAGAACAGCTTAAAAACAAAACCATATTCCAGTTAAGTATTTGTTTAGTAGAGACTTGAAATCAACTGTGACGAGCTACTTGATGAGGGATATCAATTTTACATTTCAGTAACTGCCAAATGCTTTACAATATTCATACTCTATATAGCTATATACTCTATAAAATTCTACTATGACTAATATTGAAATTTAACAGGCGGTATTAGAGGCCAAGGTGGTTATATCGGTACCAGAATAACAAAAATTTTGATTTCTCTTCCAAATGTGTAAAAGACAGATAAATGCTACTATACTCGTGACTAATGTTGTAAATCAACAGGTGGTATTGGAGGCCAAGGTGGTTATAGTAACAATAAATTAGATTTCTCTTCCAAATGTGTAAAAGACAGATAAATGCTACAATACTCGTGACTAATGTTGTAAATCAACAGGTTGTATTAGAGGCCAAGGTGGTTATGATTCCAAAAATTTAGGTTTCTCTTTTAATGTGTAAAAGACAGATAAATGCTACTATACTCGTGACTAATGTTGAAATTCAACAGGTGGTATTGGAGGCCAAGGTGGTTATGATTACAAAAATTTAGGTTTCTCTTCCAATGTATAAAAGACAGATGACATGCTACTATATTTGTGACTAATGTTAAAATTCAACAGGTGGTATTGGAGGCCACGGTGGTTATAGTAACAATAAATTAGATTTCTCTTCCAAATGTGTAAAAGACAGATGACATGCTACTATATTTGTGACTAATGTTAAAATTCAACAGGTGGTATTAGAGGCCAAGGTGGTTATAGTAACAATAAATTAGATTTCTCTTCCAAATGTGTAAAAGACAGATAAATGCTACTATACTCGTGACTAATGTTAAAATTAAAAAGGTATTATTAGAGGCCAAGGTGGTTATGATTACAAAAATTTAGGTTTCAATTTTAATGTGTAAAAGACAGATAAATGCTACTATACTCGTGACTAATGTTGAAATTCAACAGGTGGTATTGGAGGCCAAGGTGGTTATGATTACAAAAATTTAGGTTTCTCTTTTAATGTGTAAAAGACAGATGACATGCTACTATATTTGTGACTAATGTTAAAATTCAACAGGTGGTATTAGAAGCCAAGGTGGTTATACCGGTAGTAACAATAAATTAGATTTCTCTTCCAAATGTGTAAAAGACAGATAAATGCTACTATACTCGTGACTAATGTTGAAATTAAAAAGGTAT